GGTTCATGACGTAATTTGCTTTTATATAGAAGAAAATTACGTCATGAACCTGCCCTGTATTTTAAATTTGCAGCCTACAGTATATTAATTAAGTCTTGCCTTGTTAATTAAATGTCGCATGAATAAATATAAATGTTGGTGACAAGGTAATTTCTAATATTTTAGCAAAAAGTTTATTGCAAGAAATGAAGTCATTTGGTGACGTTAAGTTTTTGTGTCATTTGAGAACATTTTAACTACAGTCAATATAGTACTCTCGAAGTTTTTCTGTCGTGCTCATTAAGAGTTGATTTTCTATTATCAAGCAAACCGCGATTCGCAGTTCCGTTATAAAGTAGTCACGAGAAAAAGTCCATTAAAATATGACTTTCATTAACCCACGATCATAAAAACATCTCATTACCTAATGCTCATTTAATACACCTTGAAATAGCAAAAACTAAACGAGTTCTTTTCATCTAATTGAATTCCTTCAGTGCGTTCACCTGTTCTTAACCAGCAAATTAATAATAATAACACTTTTAAATGATATGTGGTAAACCACAAGTGTTAATAAAACGATTACCAACTACGTGTATTTCTAAACACAGTTTATTACTGAGTTTTTAATTCTATTGAAAATAATAAAATCATATAATTAAGTAATAATTAAATCCTCTGTCGGGAAAAAACGAAATGACTTTCCGAACAACCCTATAGATACTTACTTATACTTACTATAGTATATAAGTACTGGGGTTTATTAACAAATTAACATTTTAGACTGAATTTTTCTTGGAACCATTAATGAATGATACATCTAAGGTTTTGTCCTGTAAAATATTTAGGTAATATTTAACATGGCGACGAATGCGGATGCTATTTATTGAAGATTCGTACAGTGTCGTAGCTGCTAAATGAGCTCGGTATCAAAAGTTTGTTATCTTATTGTCGCAAAGCTCAAAAGGAGGTTAACTTTTTTTACAAAATGATATTTAAAAATATAAGAAACGACTATACAGTGACTATACAATGAAATAAATATGTATTATTATAAAACTTAAAATAGCTGAACGCTAGTTTTTTAAGATTTTCTGTTTTGATGGAGAATATTGATAGGTAATTCCGATAGTTGTTCTTGTCTCGCAGAAGTTCTAAGAATTTTTAATCAGTTTCGGTTTAGAGACATCTTTTTCATCTGTTGCAGTTGTAATCGGAAGTGTCAAAAATAAGAAGCATGTCATTATTTTAGGAAAATTGGAGGCAAGACTTTTGAATTTTATCAGCAACGAGAGTGAGTTCCTGAATGGAATGAAATGTCTGAATAGGTATCAGACTTTAAACAGGTTTTTCAGCTATTAATTATTTATATATTTCAACAGATGAGTATGTCTTTATTGTATTTAGTAGTTTACTCTTTCTTTTTTTGCGAATTTCACGTTGATGACCTGATACGGTTGATGCGGCGGTGGTTACGTCCCTGGATTCTTACATATACCTATATCTAATTTAATATATGATGTGGAAGAAAAATCTTTCAAATTGTCATAAATATTATGCTTTTAGCCGTTTCAAATAATAAACCGCATAAAAAACTCGTAAAACTTATAAGCGGTATTGGAAACTGACCACTTTAGCTACGACTTCTAGTAGTCAAAAATTCTACCTAGGATAAGCTTCCATTGTATGCTGTCAACGCGTTAGAGTAATTTGCATAAAATTAAATAAAAACTTAATAATAATTATTATCGAATTACAGTGACATTTGTCAGTTCGGCTGCTTGCACTGATTCTACAATAAGATTTATCTGTGCTTTTAGGGCTTTAGTAATAAATCAAATAAAAACTTAAATCATTTCCATGATACTTACCCAGAGTTTGGTAGCATCAGTTTTGCACAAATCAATAATATATTTAGAAATTTCGAAAAATTAGACGGATTATGAGGATTTAAAAGTGCTTTTAAATTACAGTAAAAGTTCCTTATTCACGATTTCCTTATTTGCGTTTTCATTTATTCGCGGGGTGAAAAAATTGCAATCCAGTTCTTATATTCGCGGCTAAAAATTTCATTATTCACGGATGCAATCGGTAAAAAGAAAAGGATTCGGTTTTATTAAGGATATTGACCGCAATAGACCGTTCGTCCCTAGTGTGAATTTTTCCGAAAACATGGGTTTTTATTCTAAACATTATGATTTATCGCTGCGAGATAAATATGTAATTTTTTGTATGGTAACAGACAAAAGTTCACACTAACTCGGTACGTTTTTGGTTTTCAGTAATATAGTAATTAAAAGCTTTTACAAGTGCTTAAAGTTGATGCTTTTTGTACGATATGTATTTTCAATAGAAAATAAAAAAATAAAAAATAGCCTTCGACAAGCTTTAGAACAAAGCTTTATCTATCTTACTACAAAATTTCACACCTCTGTTCCAAATACTAAACTCATGATATCCAGAACCGATAAGCATGTTTTTACTCTACGACGCGTGTTCTACTTTTTTTTATGTTTTCGTGGAAGAAGGGAAATCTTCAAAAGACACCCAGCCGTCCGTACGACTGGGTAGTGTCGGATTCCCGGGGAAGAAGTCCTCAGACCTACCGACTAAAACCCCTCTACCTCAGGCCGTTGTAGGACCAACTAGGGTCCTCTTCAGCCGGTGTTTTACTGAATCCCCTTAATTATTCTTCACACATTCCTTACTTTTTGAGTTATCAGACCAGCCGGAAACTTTTGGTACACCCTGTAGATACAGTTGATTGAATGTTTTTATTATCGTTCTATTGGCAAAATAATTATGTACTCTGCAGATTCTAAACTCTCAAAAGAAGTGGCAAAACAAATGACTGACTTACAGTTTCTGATTATGCACAACGAATAGTTCGATTATGGTCTTAATTGTACATTGGTAATTTCAACAAGATATTATTTCTCTCGTAGAAGTTTAAGGCGATCTGGAACGTTTCACAAAATAATTGAGGAAGAAAATTATCTGAAATAGTTAGGAACATCGCCTCTGGGCAGGTGCAGTTAAGACGCAAACAGTTGTTCTACTCAAACGAGCCAACTTGGGGCCANTAAAAAATTTTTGTATACTTGATTTTTATTGATCTTTGGTTAATAATAAGAAATTAACCAAGAAAAATTTAAAAACTATTGGCCGTCTTCTATCGTCGATATGACAAAAATTTTAGTTTTAATTTCAACTAAAAATGCTTTTATATAGAAGAAAATTACGTCATGAACCTGCCCTGTATTTTAAATTTGCAGCCTACAGTATATTAATTAAGTCTTGCCTTGTTAATTAAATGTCGCATGAATAAATATAAATGTTGGTGACAAGGTAATTTCTAATATTTTAGCAAAAAGTTTATTGCAAGAAATGAAGTCATTTGGTGACGTTAAGTTTTTGTGTCACTTGAGAACATTTTAACTACAGTCAATATAGTACTCTCGAAGTTTTTCTGTCGTGCTCATTAAGAGTTGATTTTCTATTATCAAGCAAACCGCGATTCGCAGTTCCGTTATAAAGTAGTCACGAGAAAAAGTCCATTAAAATATGACTTTCATTAACCCACGATCATAAAAACATCTCATTACCTAATGCTCATTTAATACACCTTGAAATAGCAAAAACTAAACGAGTTCTTTTCATCTAATTGAATTCCTTCAGTGCGTTCACCTGTTCTTAACCAGCAAATTAATAATAGTAACANCTTAATAAACCAATCTAACATGATAAAACATAATACAATCCAACCCAAGTCAATCCAGCGCAATCTAAGCTAACCTAACCTAACCTAACCTAACCAAACCTTTAAGTAGATTAATAGCATCACCATACGAATATAGAGTGTGTACATCATTGAATACAAAATGTAAATGTTTCCTCAACTGCTGTTTAGATATGTAATAACGGAACTCCTACAAAGTGATCTACATAAAATAATTGTCTCGCACCAGCCCCTCTCACCTGACCACATAAAAGTCTTCTTGTACCAAATTCTTCGAGGTATGTTATTCACCGATTATTTAGTTTTTTTCTTTCTCAACTATATCTGAAACTGTCAGTTACGTGTTGCTGTTTTTTCTGGAAGAGCGCGGGTCAATTTATTGTTCTGTTGCAGGTTTGAAATATTTACATTCTGCGCGGATTTTGCATCGAGATATCAAACCTGGAAATTTGCTTGTAAATAGTAACTGTGTTCTCAAGGTAAGCAAAAGAGGTGGCACCATCTAAGGACTTTCCTTGCGATGTTTATGATCAATTTTGATTAAACTTTATGTAGTGTACGATTTAGAATAAGGGAATTAAGTGGGGTAATGAAATTTTGCATCCGGATTTTAAATTAAACTCAAAATAAAAATGAAGCCTTATCATTCCGATTTGTTCAAACAATATACTTGAAAATGTCATGTAGTTTTTAGACACAATAGATATTTAAAAGTGTGTGAAACTTTTTCTCGAAAATACAATCATAATTAGTTTACCTTCCTTAAAATAATAACTAGAACTGATTAAAAACATTGTTACTTCTTAAAAGTTAATTGAAATTCGTGTAAATAAAAATATTTCTATTGAGTACAGAAATAAAGCTTTTTGTATTTTCGTCTCGCTTGAGGCGAGCCTAATGAATTTCACTACAGCTGCAGTAGTTATTTAACATTTTGGAAAATTCTCCGAGGAAATTAACAAAAAAAAAAAAAGAAATGCGAAATGTTTTAAATATTTTGTTTGTGTCGCAGATCTGTGATTTCGGTTTAGCACGTGTAGAAGAGCCTGATTCGAGCAAGCACATGACTCAGGAGGTGGTGACGCAGTACTACCGCGCACCGGAAATATTGATGGGTGCGAAGCACTACACGGCCGCCGTGGACGTCTGGTCCGTGGGATGTATTTTCGGCGAGCTGCTAAGCAGGCGGATCCTGTTCCAGGCGCAAAATCCTATACAACAGCTCGAACTTATAACCGAACTGCTCGGGACGCCGTCGCTCGAGGACATGCGGTACGCGTGCGAAGGAGCAAAAACGCACATGCTGAGAAGGGCACCGAAACCTCCCTCATTGACCGCACTTTACACCCTCTCGTCTCAGGCGACGCACGAGGTCGTGCATTTACTCTGCCAGATGCTCGTCTTTGATCCCGTAAGGCTGCACTCACTTATTTTTTTTTTTTTTAAGTTATACGTCTTTTACCTCGTGAAAAGTGCAACGGAAGTTGCGCGCGCAACGCTCAACAGTTGACTGTAGTCGAAAACTATAATTGTTATGCTTTAAGCTGTAGACATGTCAATAGAAGTGGAACTTTCACCTCATTTTTGCTGTTTGCTATTAAATTTTATTATTTTTGCATTGCATATTTTTTTTCGTTTACAGGATAAAAGGATATCAGTCGTGGATGCTTTGGCGCATCCTTACTTAGACGAAGGAAGATTGAGGTATCATTCGTGTATGTGTAAATGCTGCTATACTACAGCCAGTGGTATGAGGCAGTATACCACGGAATTTGAAACAACGGCACCTCAGCCTTTCGATGATATGTGGGAGAAGAAGCTGTCGTCTGTACAACAGGTCAAAGGTAAGACTTCTGTTGCTGATAGAAAAGTTTAAAGCTCACTCTTATCCTAGTAATTTAATGTAAATAGGAGGAAAACGTTTGCTAACGAATTAATTATATTTGAAACAGTAATTTTTAATAGGGGGGGTGGGGCCAGATGAAAATTGAATGGCACGTTTGTAATTTTTCTTCTTTCTTATACTTTCCAGAGCAAATGCACGAGTTCATAGCCGAGCAACTGAATACAAGTCGAGTACCATTGTGTATAAATCCTCAGTCGGCAGCATTCAAGAGTTTCGCCAGGTAAGACGGGATCGGAGCCCCCCAGAGCAGCGCCAGCGCCATTGCATAGGTGACCGCACACTTTACCACTTGGTGTACGTTGCATTGCACTATCTATATAATTATTTATAAACATATTTATGCATATATATGTCTATAGATAATTTGATTTACTTACTTCAGCTACAAATTTCACCCCAGACCCATGTCACTTCATCGCTTTCTTATCATATCAACTCTTGTGGGTACTTTTGCTACCTCATGCAATTTTTGTTTTTGCCTAAGAGTGAAGTGATGTGTTCTGGCAACAAATTAATACTAATTTTTTTAATTCACGCATATTCCCTCTCTCCCAGTTCATACATGTTCATACTATACTACAGAATAGCGAGCTTCATATTTACCGACACTTATTTGTTTTGCTGTACATTCTGCTTGAAAATGGTTATGATGTTGTTCATCACTTCTTTTGGTTTTGCAGGTGTGGTGGTTAACAAAAACTGCTTTATTGTTTTTTTTTATTATTTTTTTTCTTGATTTGATAGAACTTTTCTAACTGCCAACATACTGTTTTTTTTTTGTAAATAATTTTATTATTTTTCCCATATCTTTCAGGAAAAACTATCTAAAATATTGAGTTACTTCTCACATTATGGGCAATGATTTTTATTTATTAAACAACATTAAGTTCACTATTTATCTAAACTACCAATTATGATAGTAGTTCCCATCAGCACACCACAGGTAGTTTCGATAAATCATCAATTAATCCGAAGTTGCTATATAAAAGTCGATACAATAACAAAATTTTTGGCAGCATATCGCAATCTATTGATATTTACTGCTAGCTGTAGTATTTTAAATGTTTGACAAGGGCGTTAATTTGGAACAGTTACGTTTGGGATAATTTTTGCTTTTGAAATGAACGGGAATAATAAAAATTATTAAACAGAATGACGTACACCAAGTAGTAGAGTGCTTTCAATCTTGTTTATGATTGTTTAAATTTATGATTTCCATGCTGGCGCAAGCTTCATTATCCTTTAAATTAAAATAGTAGTTAATGTTTTCAGTGTTGTAGTTAGAAAAATTTTCAGACTGTATTATAATAGTGCATTAATTCTTTTCATTAATCTTTTTTTCTTATATTTACTTTACTAACCACACAATACCCAAAATTTTTCTTCTCCAATTTTTTCGTGATGTACTATAAATAACATTTAAAAAACTGCATACTTGTGTGACTTGTGATTCCCAGATAATTCAATAAAAAACTATTAATAAACTCATCTATACACGTGCATGGAAGTCATTTATTCTGTCAGTTATTTTTTTATTGTTTTAAGTAAAATTCTAAACTAAAATAGTAAGATGATGGTTGCGTTGTTGTTGTACAGGAGGCAAAAATGTTGTGCACCTTTCAAGAAGACCCTTGAAATTCTTTTATCACCCGTCATCTTTCTTTGTGCTGCCTGATGTGCTTTAAAAGATTAGGTTAGTGCTAGTTTTTTTTTTACGTTTTTTTTTTCCTTTTATTTTGAACCATTTTTGTAATTATTTCTTTTCATTTTCGAAACGTAGTAACTCTCACTGACTTACTCTTAATTAGCCTACACTAATTACACACAAGTAAGCAACTCATTGGATAGTAAATTCATCTTAAAAATTTGCACGAGACGAGTAATATACAATAAAAAATTTAATTCACTGGCACTGTGACTAATAAATTCATATTTTCATCACTGACATCCATACAAATTGTAGTTACTTTTTTTTAATTGAATTGTATTATAGTTTTTTGAGAAATTGTTTTAATTTTATTTTTTTTTAATTAATACTATTTCAAAAAAGACGTAAAACCGACTGTAGAATAAGGTTTAGTCTTGAGAAAATTTTGCTTGGCTGCTTGTTTCCATCCAGTAATTCTGTTATTAAATGTAGCCTTAAAATACTTTCTTTAGAGTAAGCTTCACTCTAGGAGGGTTTCGTATTATTCTAATAGTTAATTATTTCTTAAATGTATATTTTTTTTAATCTACTACATTAACCCCCTCCACCTAAAGAGTCGCCTCTACTCGTTCCACCCCCACTCAGAAACACTTGTTTAGTGTTCTACATGGTCATCTTCAACCTCCCCAACTCTTTCCCCCCCTCCTACCGACGTTTCTAGTCAATTTCCACTCATTCTGCAATTAAAGCATGCACATATTTTTAGTACGGAACCCTCAAAAATTATCTTCATTTGATACAAAGTCACAAAGAAAAAAATTGAAAGTTTTAAAAGATACTTTTAATTATATTCTCCTTAAGATTGTGTTGTATTGTGTGTTATTTAAATGTGTATTGTTATTATTTTGAACCGTGTTAACAAGTAATGTATTGTTCCAGTTCAACAGTGGCCCATCCATCGGAGCTTCCCCCGTCGCCTCATCAGTGGGACGACAACCGTAGGTAACAACATGACTACAAGTCACTCTTGCTCTCTGCCAAACTTAAAAGGAAAACCGTGATAATTAACGTAGTGTTCATTTCCGAAAGTAGCAATTAATATTAATTAATCAGTTAATTAATAATAATAATAATAATCTGTATATGTTCAGTAACGTCTTCTCTCCTCTGTAATATAAAATAATAGTAATTAATACCTAACTACATAAAATTAAGTAACAGTACACCAAAAATAATGATTCAGGGATCTAAGCTTTGTGTAAGGGACCGTGTTCTAAGTGCTCTGTGACAAAAAGAAAAAATACATACACATACATACATAATTAGGAATGATTAACAAAGCGCTGGTGGTGCGGGCAAAAATATAGTTAATTAACTTATTTTTTTGCGCAGAGTGTTGTCTTAGTACCGTATAGATCTGCCGCGAAATTGTTGTTCGATTTGTACAGTTCACACTGCCTTTTCGATAGTGATAGTTTACGTATTGTATGTATTTACGGTTTTAGTTCGATAAGACTGTCAGAATGTGTTTCAGTTATATCTTTGTATTGTTTTTTTTATGTCGGCGCCGTTTTTGGCACGCATTTTGCTAAATTTGCAACGCAAAGTTGTCGCCCCTCGTTGTGCCAAAATAATTCACCCCTAATTCTTTTACCAACGAAATTTCAGACCTTCAAAAAGTGTAATCAAAAAATTTTTCATTTTTATTAGACACTAACAGTTGGCTTTTGCGAAAATAGAAAAGAATTTATTTCTTTGGACTGACTAGAGGATCGTTGTTTAAAAGTTTACTAGATTAATTGTGATAAAATAAGAAAACGATATTTTTTTTCTAATAATTTTAATTTTCAATTGATTAGCTTGACACGTACTTGGAACTTCAAAAATTTCAATATTGTGTTAGTATATTGGTTGAGATATCCTGGGGGGACCCGTTCTCTTCGTCGTTTATCGCCCATTGCCTTAATTAAAAAAGAAAAAATAATAAAAACTAATTTTTTTCTGTAGATTAAGTGCAAATTTAAGCAAAAGAAAGTGCCTCATCCTTTATTTTAACAGCAAATTTAAAAAACACTGTGTCCACGTTTTTTGCTGTATTATTGATGTAAAAAGTGTCTATAACAAGCAAAGTAGTTTTTGGTCGTAATATGAATTAAATAAGTAATCGTAATTCGTGGAGCACAACAGTTTACATTAATTAGCAACTTCTGCTAATAAAAACAAACGGTGTAGTAATTCTAAACGGTTAGCTTTTCTTGTTCGATGGCCTAAAATATATTTACGATGCCAAACGAAGGTGTAATAACTAAATAAAATGAACACTTTCAAAAAAAAAAAACAAAAACAAAAACTGACATGTTTTAGACTATAAATATTGATGATTAGATAGGACGTAAGAAGACTGTAAATATTACGAACTATTATTACTATTATACATAATCTGTTACTTTACTAACCACACAATACCCAAAATTTTTNACTGTAGTTAGAACGCTCTTAAAAAGGAAGGAATTGTGATAGATCCGGTAAACAATATGTATGATCCATAATTTCCATACTACCCCCCTGAAGTGTTAATTTATGTCGAAAACAATTTAAAAAAAATGTTTGTCGTCTGTATGACCTCAAGTACAAGTACAATATATCGAATTAAAGATCTATGCTCACTAAGAAGGAGTGTATATATGCATGTATGCCCAGAAAAATTAAAAACATCGAAGAAGTTCATTATGGCATTGTCCATATGATTAAAATTACAGGTATATTTGATTATAATCATTAAATGAATCTTGCGTAGCAAGGTATCGGAAAACTTCTAGGATATTTTAATTAACAATGTATTTTGCGTTTTCATAAAATTCTGTTCTACTATTATATTGTTGTTGGGTCATACTGTATATACGTGGATGTAATAGATAAAGTTGGCTAGATGACAGGCTGGCAGCGATTTAATATACACACGTAGACAAAAACATAAACTCATAAGTTAGCGAAAGTGAACAGGAAGCTAACAAAAGTACAGTTAGTGAAAGATTAATCTTCGTTTAACAATCGGTATGACACGGGAAGAACTACCCCTCAATGCGCAGATACAATGTGGCCACAAGGCGGAACTTGCTGTTACCCTTTTGACATCTGTTACCCCGTCGCGTCGTGTCTTGCACAAATACACCCCACACAGCTTCAACTCTTAAAAAAGTATTTTGCAAAATTGCGAGCGGTAGTAATTGGGTTTATGAACATATACAAAAAAGAAAAACTATTTACCCTAGACAAAAATTTTCAGTCTCTCTTCAGTCTCTCAGAGTCTTTCAGCGTCTCTGAGAGTGTCTCTCACAGTCTTTCAGAGTCTCTCAGTTATTGCCTAGGGGTTTTTATGGATCTCTCACAGTCTCTGTATGAGATTCGGACGATAAAATTGTTAATTCAGAGATTCGAGTCTCTCACAGAGAGACTGAATGAATAAAACTGAAAAATTGAGAGACTCGAGTCTCTCGTAGAAAGTCTCGGATCTCTGAAATATGTTGAACTTAGAAAATTTTAACCATGACTATCGAGACACTACTTATTGAGAGATTCGAGTCTCTCGTTCAGAGACTGGATACGAAATGAGGATCTCTCTATGAGCGACTCGAATCTCTCGTTCAGAGACGCTTAACGGTATTTTTGACAGTCTCCGACAGTCTCTCTCAGCGACACCGGAGAGACTCGATGAGAGACGGAGACTCGAGTCTCGCTTTCAGAGACTCTGAGAGACTGAACATTTTTATCTCTGGTTGCAAAAGATCATTCAAGAGACTTTTGACTACCTTGTTTGCATTTGAAATTGCCGAAATTTCCAATATAATAAAATAAAATAGGCTGAATAATGATAAGCAAATCTATCTCTAACTGCAAAAGATCATTCAAGAGACTTTTGACTACCTTGTTTGCATTTGAAATTGCCGAAATTTCCAATATAATAAAACAAAACAGGCTGAATAATGATAAGCAAATCTATCCCTAATGAGTCATCATCATCATCATTAGGTCGTCAGTCCTAAGACTGGTNTGCGAGTCTCTTACAGAGAGACTGAACCAATAAAATTGAAAAATTGAGAGACTCGAGCCTCTCTTAGAAAGACTGGGATCTCTGAAATATGTTGAACTTAGGAAATTTTAACTATGTCTTTCGAGACACCACTTATTGAGAGATTCGAGTCTCTCGTTCAGAGACTGGATACGAAGTGAGGATCTCTCTATGAGCGACTAGAGTTTCTCGTTCAGAGACGCTAACCAGATTTTTTGACAGTCTCTCTCAACGGCACCAGAGAGACTCGATGAGAGACGGAGACTCGAGTCTTGCTTTCAAAGACTCTGAGAGACTGAACATTTTTATTTCGGTTAATGATAGTCAATTAGTCATCATAACAAAACTTAGAAATATAACTAAAGCTTTTTACGCCTTTGAAATCACATTATCTCCAAATGTACGTATGTATATGGCAAGTGATAATAAAATTTATATATTTTCATTACATTCACTTTTTCACCCCTGCGATCCTTAGTTCGCACAAGATACAGGTCCTTAATAATGAGCATCAGTCCGTGTTTACATAGGGGGTGTTCTTTAGTTCGTTCCAACCCTACGATATGGATTTAAATATGGATATATGGGTGTTAATACATATACATATGTATGTGTGTGGATGTGTATGTACGTTTATACACCAACCCCCGCAACTGCACGTTTATTGAAGAGTTCCTTCCGAGCGGAAATAATCCAATATTCATTGCAATAGTCATCACCGTACCACTTACACTTACATCATCATAATTCTACCCCTAGTTCGTTCGTGTATGTGTTTGTCCCTTATTCAAGAAGTCCACATGACGCTTTACTACACACTTTTTAAATCTCTTACATAGAGTTTCCAACAATTTAAATTATTTTACTAAAAAGTCTGTAAAACAAAGGTATACTAACTTCACCCTAGTTGTGTATTTTCATGTTAGTGCGCGACATGTGTCATTTTAAATGTTCGTTAATAGACTGGGTGCTATTGTACACAAAACATGTCGACACTTGCTTTATTATTGTACGAACAATGGGGACCACTGACAGGTTTTTTATTATCCCATACACAATGACAAGGGCTAATCTGAATAAATACCTAATCGAACGAAAAAAATGCTAAATAATTCTATTAGCGACACGACAGGGTGAAAAGTTCAATGAATAAAATACAAACAAAGATTTAGTAGTGGTTTAAGTTTGCGAGGAGTTCTGCAGCTTGTATATATATGACACATTGATAACTGCTAATTTCTTTATTCATCATCATCATTAACAACATCATTATAGGGACGTCAGTCTTAAAATTGGTTGGACACGCACCTCGACTCTTTCCTATCTTCGGCTAATCTTCGCATACAAATTGTATGAATAAATTTAGATATTTCGTTGAATTTGGAAGGAAATTAGGGGAAATGGTATTTTTTCTGCCGCTGTTATAGATTTTCCGAGCGCGCAAGTGATTCCTTTTTGTTAAAGGCCCCCTGACCTTGCGCTATCCTTTGTTTTATATCTCTAGCGCTTTGTTCATTCCAAGTTAACATCATCATCATCACCTAACCTAACCTAACCTAACCTAACCTAACCTAACCTAACCAAACCTAACCTAACCTAACCTAACCTAACCTGATTCCTTAAATATCGAAAGTTGTGATAATTAATAAAAACTCACGATTTCTGTAACGTCACCATTTTGCATTTGTGTGTTATATATTTCGTAGTCAATCAAAAGCATCTGTTCACACAATACAATACAGCACAGTGAACTTGTAACCAATTTACATTCTGTCAATATCCTTGAGCATATACATATTATTTCTCTTGAACAAGTGAGGCTGGTGGAAAGGATAAAGCTCACCTATCCTACATGAATAAGCCGGTGTATAACACATGTGGTGTTTGCCTCAACACTTGCTCCAGCTTGTTTATCCAGGCATTTAAGTCTCTGAGCAAACAGGACCGTATTAGTTTGATCCGCGGGACCTCTGAGTAAATATTTTTGCCATTTTGCCGCACCATGTGGCTAACAAAGCATTGTGTCGTTGATGAACTATGTTTAATACATAAATTTACAATAATATATACCTACAAGGCACACTAAATAATGCCTAAATTTAATTAGTAATTGACAAACTATCTTAAGTTTCAAGAGAATTAAACTTAGGTATATTAATTACTATTTATCGTGAAATTGCCTATCCTATCTGCGGAACAATGCTACATTTTATGTGATTTAAGTATGTTGGAACTGTCTAAGGCGTGCTGAGGAGATCCAATGAGATTGAAATCGACAGAGGATTGACCGCTATGGGAGAAATTAAGGTTTTAGAAAGATTTTTTTGTAATAATCCTTATCATACTCCGTCCCTCCTAACACGTAATTTACTACGTACTAAATTTTTATTAATCTAACAAAAAAAGATTTTTTGGCTTAGTGTGTCACGTAGATATGTTTAGTTATTGATTGTTGTACTTTGCTGGGGCTTAGATAATGATGAAGAGGGAAAAGTAAGTCTTAAAGAGAGTATATTTGCAGAGTAAATTAGTCAGACCGAGCACAGTAAAAAGTTTTCTGTTTGAGCTGACGGAGACGCGAGGGACCGAATGAATGAATGACTGACTGAGTGATAGCAAATGCGACAGTGGAGGAGAGAGTTTAGACGTCGACGACGGGTGGTGTGCGGTGGTATTTGACATTCCATGTGTATTTAACAAAGTGACAAGGCACAGCCGAGGGGGTGGCGAACGTGTGTACTTAAGGCCGGTGGAGTTGCCGCGGCGGCAGAATTTATACATGTCACGAATTTGCCACGCTTAATTTGCTACGCGGAAGATTTTTAAGACTTACTTCATTTCGGAAATTTTAATGTGACGGCTGATGTCGTAACTCGCAGGAAAAAAAATCGCGAAGAGAAATCCTGCTTGAGATGAATTTTTAAACGAATATTGAACTACATCTACCCTCTTTACGCGGAAATTTGACATAAGATACAAGCAGATTTACAACAGATCAAAAGAAACGGAATAATTGACAGGAATGTTCCTGCAATCAGACAAATCTGTTACGGACATTGATACACATCATATTATAATAACGAATCATCAAGCAGGTATTCTGTTTTAGTTCAAACGTTGCCGCACCTGTTTCCCGACATAATTGTCAAAAAGTCCCCACGCAAAATCTCAGCTGAGGCAGGTCTCGCGGAGGTGCGAAATTCTTTAAAGACTTACACACTAGGTGTCAATGACTAACGTTATTACGGAATTTTAGTAAAGGCGAGCTTAATAAATCAATATGCTCTTGGCTAGGAATCGTGAAAAATTATATTTTTACGTCTTGTACATATGCAACGAAATAAAATTATAGTTGGCAATCTCTATTTTTATACCACCAAATATTTAAAATACGTACCATAGGGAATGAAAACCAATTTGTTGTTATTATGCTAGCAAATAAATGAGAAGTTGTATTAATTTCTCTTTATACTGATGATATGTTTTGAACTTGAAGCTGCGTGTTGTTCTGAATCAGATGTTTGAGAAAATTATCGTTCAATTATTATCTCAAAAAGAAAATAAAATTACTCATTGTCAATGAAACACATAAAATATCTTCTGCGACCGTTTACTGTAAATATTAATGTGAAAAATTCATTTTCAGTTTTTATCCACTATAAATTACTTCAAGTTAATGAGGAAAAATTTAAAGCTGTTGTTATACCCTCGCCGGGAATCGAACCCGCGATCTTTGGCATTACGCATAAATTCTCTGACACTTTGGTGTTCTAGTGAGTAAAAATTGAAGATTAATTTTTCACATTAATATTTGATATTAAACTGTCAAAGTGTTTCATATAGTTTACTATAATTTCGTCTTACATTTCCTAAGATATTTAGATAGATCTATATATTACAAAAATAGATTTAACGGCACCATCTGATAAAAGGGAGGAGTTTGAGTAGTTTCAGACTGATTTTAATTGTCTTTCTGGTCTGTGGAAGATTTCTTTTTCCTTTTTTACAATTGACTGAGATTCCCTCGTTTCGTTCTCGTTCAATTGTTCATTAGACCGTATTCATCTGAATCGAACGGATGAACTCGATATGCGAGAATGAACGGAAAAGAGACGAAGAAACAAGTCGTAGAAACTGTGGCATCGGAGTAGCAGTAGCAGTAGCAGTAGCAGGAATGGGTAGCAAGCAGGAGGATTCGGTTGGTTCAATCAATCTGGCAAATAACGGGCAAGCGACGTCCTGCGCCTGGAATACCGATGATTCTTAATTGCCTCCTGCCAATACGCGAGAGGGTCGGTCTGCAAAATCAGCAGCATAACCACCACCACCACCACTACTACCATGAACAGAAGAAAATCCAAGCGTCAACCGTCTCTCTACTCTCCATAACCGCATTCGCTCGACCGCCTACCTTTAGGATCCTTGATAAACACTAATCAACGTTCGACGACTCGAACTATGCTAATATAACGTTTCGTCGTCATCCCTCATCCTCCACAACCCTTCGCTAATATCTATGATGGTTTTATTGTTAACATTTACTCCCTTCTCTCAAGCTATCCACAAAGGTTGCAAAATCTTTTATTATTTAGACGTGTAGAAGGAGTCTAGTCATATTTACTTGTAAGTATCATCATCATAAGGTCGTCAGTCCTAAGACTGGTTGGACATGTACCTCCACTTTTCCTATCCTGAGCTAAACATTTCCCTAAAACTAGAACAGCCCACATCTTTGACTATTTGTGAACAGTAATCTAATCTAGGTCTACCTCTACCCCTCCTAACTCCTGTTTCTTCCTCTAATATGTCTCTGACTAGACCTTCATGCCTGAGAAGGTGTCCTACCAACCTATCTCGCCTATTTTTTATTGTCTTCCATAGAGTCCTCTGTTCTCCTATTCTTTCTAATACCTCTTCATTTCTAACCTTCTCTTTCCACGATATCCTCATCATCCGCCTATAACACCACATTTCGAACGGTTCTAACCGTTTAAATAGTAGTAGTCATACAGTACTGATCTGTTGTACTGTCTTTAATGATGTTGATGGCGTTTTCGATGTATACTTGTAAGCATAAACATAAACAATTGTAAATTGATAAGGAATTTTCTAAGATGGCGATTATTAATTTTCATGATTTAGAATTCTGGGTTACTCCACTCATAGGCTTTCTTCTAATAATTGGGATATATCATACAAAAGTTACTATTGTAGACACAATTTCAGACTTCAGACGCTGGTAAAGTTGGAGTTCCACGTAAAATGGCAAATGGTATCAATCGTTGCTTCAATTTTTTGTTTTTATACGTGATTGATTGTTTTTTGAATTTTTTGTTTATACGGAGTGGAGTTATTTATATTAATGAATTTACGAGTTGATAGTTTTTATAGAAGACGTAAAAATAACTGAAGCAAGTTATGGCGGTAACATTAAGTTGATGGCTCATTTCCAAACCGATGCGGTATACTGTGGTAAAAGATACTTTAAGTTGAAAGACAAGGATACTTACACTTGTCAACAGGTGTTTTCACTGTGTATCATAACAGTATTTACGATTGTAACTATTCTGTAAGGATTTATACTATTGTTATATAAGGCTATTTTTGTCCTCTAAAAAGCTGCTTCTTGCGATGCAAAAAGAATAAGGCTTCACATACAAATATTATCTAAACTTTTCGATCTCTTGTCAATGAGAAATACTCTACCAAACAATGCTAATAATTTGATTTAAAGAATTTTAACCTTTTTGGTGATATTGAACGTTAAAGGTCCTTTCAGGAAAGCATTATCCTTCTGAAAATTGATTTTTAACTATGTACTGAAGGTCGAGGTTTTGGTTGAATAATATTCTCCAAGATTAGAAGTTACGGTTTCATGGGCTTTATAAATACCAAATGGAGTCAAGCAAGGACTTTTTCTTTCTTAAAGATTTTCAAATGAAATTTATTATCACCTCTACGGACAACACCAGTTTGGTCAGAGATTTTATGAAAGCCACTAATGGTGTGCTAATGGGAGCTAATAGTTTCAAAATTTCTAACAATTGTGATGAATTGTTGACCAGGAGTTTACCGGCTTTCTAGAAATACCTTTTGCTTTTTCATTTGGAGAATAGTAAACTCCAATATCAATGAAAATACTACAAATGGCACGGTAAACGCCATCTGTAGTACGATGCTACATTTTAGGATTACGTATGCTCCAACAAGGTCCATTTAAATATATGGATATCTACTTGCTGAAACGAATCCCGGCGTAGCTAACCTCAACGTGATAGGCACGTTAGCATAATCGAATAAAATAATTCGAAGACTGATGAGATCCAAAAAGATCGAAATCGCGATGCGCTTCTGGTAATTTCGACAGAATACAGACCACTTCGAATTCTTTTATTCGATTATGGTAACGTGCCTATCACGTTGAGGTTAGCTACGCCGGGATTCGTTTCAGCAAGGAGATATCCATATATTTAAATGGACCTTGTTGGAGCATACGTAATCCTAAAATGTAGCATCGTACTACAGATGACGTTTACCGCGCCATTTGTAGTATTTTCTAAAACGCTCTGTTAAGACAGCAGGTAAAAGTTGGTCTGTGTTCTGCCGGAGTTGTCTGCAACGCGCTGATGAGATCCAAAAAGATCGAAATCGCGATCCGCGTCTGGCAATTTCGACAGAATACAGACCACTTCGAATTATTTTATTCCAATATCAATGATTTTAAACGTTGGGGGAGTCGAATTAGGCTTCCTCTACCTGTAACTAGTGAATCATAACGAACAATGCTTGGTGTAACGCGACTCTAAATATTATTACTGCCCATGGGTCACTGCGTTGTTTACCCGACTCGTCGAGACTATGCGCAATCATTTTGTTTTCGCTTGCAGTTGAACGTGCCTGATTGGTCAATTGAATTGATTGATTCCGGATAAATGTAACAGTCGTTTGTTTTTCGTACAAATGCACCTACTTACATATACATACATGTACACCCAGCAACGTTACCTGTCTGCCTTCACATGATTCTGTATTTATTTGGACGTCAAGGGGTTTACTGATTAATGTCGAACAGAATGGGTCCCCTTTGTACAATATACGATACGACGGCGACGGTTGGAAAAATGCAGTTTCCATGGCACCAATACTCAGATTTGTTGGAACAGTAACTTTTAATTTGGATAGAGAGTCCGTGGATTTCAATTCGTATAAATCGTTCCAATAGGAACAAATCACACTATCGATCGTTAACAATTAGTTTAAACTTCATCATCATCATCATAAGGTCGTCAGTCCTAAGACTGGCTGGACACGTACCTCCACTCTTTCCTATCCTGAACTAAACTTCGCATTTCCCTAAAACTAGAACAGCCCCCATCCTTAACTATTTGCGAACAGTAATCTAATCTAGGTCTACCTCTACCCCTCCAAACTCCCGTTTCTGCCTCTAATATGTCTCTGACTAGACCTTCATGCCTGAGAAGATCTCCTACTAACCTATCTCGCCTATTTTTTATTGACTTCCATAAAGTCCTCTGTTCTCCTATTCTTTCCAATACCTCTTCATTTCTAACCTTTTCTACCCACGATATCCTCATCATCCGCCTATAACACCACATTTCGAACGCTTCTAACCTTTTCTTTTCCGCCGCTCCCACTGTCCATGTTTCGCACCCGTACAACGCCGTGCTCCAAACATACACCTTTAACAACCTTTTTCGAATTTCTAAATTAACCGTTCGCGAGCATAGAAGTGACTTCTTTTTATTAAAGGCGACACGACCCTGCGCTATCCTCTGCTTTATATCCCTACTACTCCTTCCATCCTCACTTATCTGACTTCCTAGGTATCTAAAATCAGCCACTTCTTCTAATTTTTCGTCTCCTATCTTTATATTCGCCCTTTCCCTACATTTTCTTCCCTTGCATACGAGTATTTCAGTTTTACTTTTATTTAAGTTTAAACTTAAGGGTTAATTATATTATCAAATACCTATCAGTTCAATAATATTAGTTAATAATCAATACTTCCAATTCTACAATTATCCTGCACCAACTTTATTATTTACTCATTTTTTCTTAATTTTATAATATAGATAAAAAATTGTAGAGAGTGTTGAATTGAAAGAAGACGAAGGGATGTTTTTATGTATCTAGTACTTTCATGACTAACTTTTCCGCCAGGGAGCACCAAAGTTGTCCATTTTGTTGCCCCAAGTTACGTTCGCCTGATGCTGGCCTGATTGCTGATTTTTTGTTTTGCAGGTTTGGTTCCAAAATCGCCGAGCAAAATTTCGAAAGCAGGAGAGGCTGGCCCAGCAAAAGGCAACTACAAATACCGCAGACACGACCACGTCTCCCAGCATAAAATCCGAGAACAATTCCAGTTCGAAGACGAACCTCAACGGAAGCAAGGATATAAAGCCTGGATCTCCACACTCGGGCATCTCCACTACTCCTAATTCTACGGCAAGCGCTAACTCCCAACAGTCTTCCAATGGGGATATAAAACCAGTGAATGGAAATAGTAAGTGTAGTCAATAGTCATATTGTTTAGAGGATGCTGTCAAAAACGGGTACATCATCATCATAAGGTCGTCAATCCTAAGACTGGTTGGTCACGTACCTCTACTCTTTCCTATTCTGAGTTAAACTTCGTATTTCCCTAAAACTAGAACATCCCACATTCTTAACTATTTGCGAACAGTAATCTAATCTGGGTCTACCTCTACCCTTCCTAACTCCTGTTTCTGCCTCTAATATGTCTCTGACTAGACCTTCATGCCTGAGAAGGTGTCCTACCAACCTATCTCGCCTATTATTTATTGACTTCCATAGAGTCCTCTGTTCTCCTATTCTTTCCAATACCTCTTCATTTCTAATCTTTTCTACGGGTACATATTGTTGAAATATTGAAGCTTGATGGAAAAGGGCGTCGAAGGTGTTGAAGAAATTTTCTTTGGGAATTTACAGCCAGTTTAGAAGAAAGGGGATTTAGACGCATATCTAACCAGATTTCACACTGTTGCCTGTATGATAACAATGATAATAATGATGATGAGTTAGAAATCGTTTTTTTTTACAAAATTATGAATTGTAAAGTTTAGTACAACTCCTCCATTCCTCTCGGACAATAATACCACCCTGCAATCTCTGTTTATCTCGGGGAGAGAGAAAAAACGTGTTCAAGAGTCCTTATCGATTCATAATTTAACTAAATAATTTTGACATAGGTGCATACGAACATCAATCGGTTGCTAATCGGGAAAATGCCTTCGTTGTAGATTCAGCTTAATGTTAAGGTCTACTAAAGTCGAAAGGTATACACTTAGCGTAATGCGTTGGTTCGATGCTGACGATATCTTAGAAGTGGCTGTGGATAATATGACATCGGATTGTTCGTGCAGGGCCCCAAACAGCTAAGACCGAACTAAAGAGTTGACAGTAATGGAAATAAATGAGTGGTAGCGGGCAATTTTCTAGATTAAATGTCAGAGTCCTGCAACGGGCGCCTCTTGCGAAAATGCCGCCGAGAATGAATAACATATACACGGGAAGTCAGCCAGCTGCTGCTAGATTTATGGTTCGGATATAAAAATAATATTGTCCTGTTCGATTTTCTGCTATATTTCCCGAACGTAACAAACAGACTAGCATTTTCCGGCGATAAATATCGCTTTGACAGAACCGTTTTGTTCTTGTCCTTTAAAACATCATTTATACCTTTAGAGGAATACAAAGAGTCACATAAAACTTTACGAATTATCTTATCATATTTTGAAATAAGTGCAGCTGAAGTAATACGTATAAATATATTACTGTACCTCAATCTAAAACAATAGTTTTCGTGGTTGTACCAATTAGTTCAATCGTTAGTAAAAAACACCTTCTTTAAAAATCGAATGAATAAAATTTATAACTTTGGATAAATGAATAATGAGCTGCAAGAGAGTCCAATTACGTGATTCTATTTACTCAAATTTTGGCTGTTACTGCTCGGGATGGTACGGGCAATTACATACTTAATTAGGTTCCACTGTCATAAGCCAAAATGGTTAAAATGAAAATTTACAAATATTAATATGAGATCTACAACGCGAAGCCACATTTGTAACTAGTTATTTACTGCGATTTCTTTTGCGTGGGTTTATTTTCCTTGCGTTTCTGGATATCAAATTTTAAATTCTACCGAACGGGAATTGGAAAATTTCTTGAACATCCCGCGTGATATAATTTTTGGAGAAATTGGGCGAAAAAGCATCTGAAATCCTTCGCTAATTAGAAAATGAGTATGAGGACGAGTTTTTATTTAAAACTCCTGCGTGAGCAGTGGGTAGAAGTGGGAGGAGGGTGGTTAAAGAAAGTAAAGATGTCCAAGTCCAAGATCAAGGAATTATTCACCGTGAATTCGTTCCTTTCGTAAGGAAAACCACGATTTTTCATCACGACAACGCGCCCATGAATTTTTCGTTGATTGTCCATGAGTATTTGACCAAACGTTGCTGTATTCCTTTTAGAGCTCGTAATTACCCCCGTGCGATTTTGTTTTCTTCTCAAAAATAAAAATCCACTTCAAGAGTACTCCTTATGGTGACGACAGTAGGACGATGCCTCCGAACTTCGTTAAGTACGAAAGAGGGAGTTTCCAGGGGTAGGAAGGACAAGGGCAACGATGTTTAGAGTTAGAAGGTGACTACTGTGAATGCCGAGATAATAAAAAATTGAACAAAAATTAATTCTGTTTTGTTTTATTTAAAAATTCCAGCAATATAATTGTTACACTTCGTATACTTTTAACAATCGCTTTCGAGATATAGAAAATGGGTGATCGATTATCATCATCATCATAAGGTCGTCAGTCTTAAGACTGGTTGGACATGGACTTCCATTCTTTCCTATCCTGAGCTAATCTTCGCATTTCCCTAAAACTAGAACAACCTACATCCTTAACTAATTACGAACAATAATCTAATCTGGGTCTACCTCTACTTCTCTTAACACCTGTTTCTGTCTCTAATATGTCTCTGACTAGACCTTCATGCCTGAGAAGGTGTCTTACCAATCTATCTTGCCTATTTCTAAATTACTTCCATAGAGTCCTCTGTTCTCCTTTCTAATACCTGTTTATTTTTAATCTCTATCCACGATATCCTCATCATTCGCCTGTAACACCACATTTCGAACGCTTCTCTAACCCTTTCTTTTCCGCCGCGTCCACTGTCCATGTTTCGCACCCGTACAACGCCGTGCTCCAGACATACACCTTCAACAATCTTTTTCGAATTTCTAAATTAACCCTTCGCGAGTATAGAAGATCCATTATAAATAACAAAGTATAGTCTGATTTGAAATTGACAGTAATTAGTAGTAATTTGCTTTTCTATTTTTATTAGGTAAACTACCCCAAGACGACCACATCCCTTCGAACAACAACAAATGGCCATCGATGAGTCCGCAGTCATGCAACACAGCATTCTTGGTTCAACAGGCGAACAAAGTTTTGTCCACGCAGCCCTCCCATCTTCAGTCCCACGGGTCACACCATGCAGCAGCGGCGGCCGCCGCGGCGCTTTCATCCCCTTTCTCGTCCCTGCTGGGCGCCAGCACGGGTGCAGCTTCTTATCTTTTAGGAGATCATCTCAAGCCCACTGCCAATCATTTGTTCTAAAAACGTTTTTAGTGACATTTCGGGAAACGACGCTAGTCATGTATGTAGATAGTGATCGCAAAATGTGTGCGGATGATAGGGAAAGGTGAAAGAGAATTTTTATGTACTTGTTAGATAAACATTTATAGGTAGAGTTGTAAAATACGATATTTGTATCTATATTTTTTTTTGCAATTGACCACTATTAACATCAAAACCGCCGAAGAGGATTATGAAATATTGTTTTTGTTTTTAAGTAAAAATTATTTATAGATAAATTCTTTCTGTATTCATTGCCAATGACATGGTGAAATTAACAACTAT